TATATATATATATATATATATATATATATATATATATATATATATCTCCTTCTCGTGGATACATCCTCGCGGAATTTTCGATTAACCGAACGTGTCGTCGTTTTGGTCGTCGAAATAACGCGTCGTTTCGTTTCGAAAATATATACGGGGAAAAACGCGATATATAATTTCATCGCCTCTCCCTTGAAATTTTCATCGCGCTTATGCACGATCCGTTCCCCCTTTTACCGTTTAATAAATAACCCGGGGACAAATTAACGTTAAACACGAGCCTCGAATCGATCCGCGATTAATATTAAACGGGTGTCGAGGCGAAAGGCAGAGGGGGGAAAAAAAAGGAGAAGAAAGGGGGAGGGGAAAAACGCAATCACGACGGAACCTCTAATCAGCCGAGGACTCTGTCGGGCTACTCAACCGCCACCCCGTAAAGCGACGAGAGTCGATCGAGAATCGACGCAGAAGAGGGAGGAGAGGCCGGAACGAAGCACGAGTAAACAATTCCGCGCACGAAATGGCCACCGCCGAACGATTATATACGGAGGAAGGGAAGGGTCGAGTCTATGAGGCGACGTATATTACGCTGCACACGTGCACACCATTCCAACACGCCACACCACCCGTCGACCTTCCTCGCGCGAGTCACCGTGCACCAAGATCACCCGCTCTTCGAATCATCGCATCCACACGATCGAATTACGTAACGTGGAGAAGACGTGTGTGTGTGTGTGTGAAAGGAAGAAACGTTTCTCTGTTTGGGAAGGAAGAAAGGAAGAGAAAAAGATACGCTACTTTCCGCAGCGATGGTAAACGGGGGGGGGGGAGCTGATGCGCGCAAGGCTAGCCTGTTATTTGTCCCACGCGGCGGCAGATTAAGATAATGGGCTAATGCGGGCACTCCGCGGGCGCCACGTTGTACCCGATGCTGGCAGCTGGACATGGGCGGAGGGGGGAGAAGGAGGAGGAGTAGAGATACGGCAACCACGCGATCCTCCCGGACAGGCTCGGTTGTAACGCGCCTCGTTGCGAATTATCGTGCGAAGTGATCAACGGGCATGCGCCCTTCTCGAATCGAAGCCACACGAACTTCTCGGTCCGCAGAAAGCGAGTCAGAAGCGTGCCGCACACCCGTGTCGTTGCCGCGCGAGGTATCAGCCCTCTCGTTTCTCTCTTTCTCGATTTCGAAAGCACGTCGATATCGATCGATCCTCGAGCGTTCGTTTCGGGTTAGTTAGAGAGGTTGGCCCGGTCCGGCGGACGAGCGGTTTTTCTTCCTCCGTTCGATGCGGATTCGAACGGGAAAGTAGGTGGCGGAGAGATGACGAAGTTTAAAGGACAGGAGGTTTTTGCCACCACCCTCGGGGGCTCGAGTTCAGGAGATGAAACCCGCCCTCGAGAGTTTCACGCCTCTAACGGCTGGCTTAAAAACTGTCAGAGGTACAAAAAGCTTTTTTTCTCCCCGGCCGGATTAAAAAACTTAACGAAAGGGGAGGGAAGAAAACACGCACGCGTACACTTTTGTCTCTCGCCCTTGGTTATTAAAATTGTACGTAGCCGTTGCTAAACTTTCCAAGAACGGAATTAGAAGAAGATCGACACGAGTCAACTTCGTTTTTACACACGCAACTTTGTTCCCGGTTCGTAATATCGATACGCGAGAACGGTGTGGAGGAACGAATCTCGTTGGAAATTGAACACCGCGATTTCATTGGGAGGAAATTAATTCTGATGCGAGGAGGGTGTTCGCGCGCTCGTCGGAATATCTAGGTCGCGCTTGGGCAACGAGGGGAAAGGGTAAATAATAGAGAAAGGAAAAAAAGAAGAAGAGAAACGGCCGCTCGACCATAAAATCCTACCTGTTACTTACTTTCCCTCCTTTTTCTCTTTTTAGCATCATCGCCGCGCGAAATTTCGTACGTGGGAAATTGATAACGACTTTCCACGGAGTACGACTCGAGAATTAACGTCGAATTCCTCGCTCCAAATGATATTTCGCGGGTGAATCGCGAATCTTTTCAATTTTTTCGATGATCGACGAGTCACGGGGGTGGCGATCCGTGGAAAATGGCGCGCGGTCGACGGAACGGTCGCGTCGGGATGAAAAAAAGAGAGGGGGGGGAGGGGGAAAAATAAAAAAAAAGAACAAGAGACAGAGAGAAACACGGGGCGGGAATCCGAGCGCGTCGAAATACAATTTGACAAGCGAGTTTCACCGAACAATAGAGACCGTGATTTCTGAATAAAATTCTATAAACGGCTCGATACGGGGACAACCTCGTAAATATTATTTCGGCCTTCCAGATAAATACCCGTCTTTGAGCAAACGATCGAAATCCCCCCCCCCTCCCTCTCTCTCTCTCTGTTTACATATACATGTATGCCTCTCTCCGATTGATGGCTATTACATAGGTGTCGCGTTTTAATCGGCGAATAGGCGAGGAGGGAGGCCAAAAAAAGATTGGCCGGTAACCGGTATCAACCGGATAGTGATTATCGATCGACACGCGCGCATTTTCGACGTTGGGGAAAAAGGGGGAATGGGAACGGGGGAGGGGGGACTCGCTATCGAAACTCGGCGCGTTACCGCGTTGCCGAGATTTTTCCGATATCCGTGCCGCGGGGCTGTACGAGCGCGGAAAATTCCACGCCATTATTCGAGCACGCTGTTGCCGGAACGGTCCTCCCCCGATCCGTCCCGCTGTGTATAACGCTCGGACGCCGTTGTAACTACAGGCCGAATGTTGTTAACAACCGGTATCGAGAGTAGGTTCAACACGGCGCGGTGAAATCCACTCCAGGCTCCCTCTCCCCCTCCCCAGTCTCCCTCTGCTCGAGAGAGCTGACACCGCGCACCTTTCCACCGCAAGGGTTTTCCGCTTTCGAATCGAGACGATCTCGTTCGGAACGGGCCCCGATTCGCACTTTCGACAGGTGCGTTTCCGACGTGGGATCCGTAATTTTATCGTACCTGCTACATACGTTATTATTTCTCCGTTTCTCTATTTATTTTTCCACGTGGAACGCGGAAGATCAGGAAGCAAATTAGCCAGGATCGAAAAATGACACGTCGAGTGGACGACACGAAATCGCGCGGGGGAAACAAAGAGCGGATCCTTCTACTTTCACCTCACGTTTCCAATTTGCGTGTTTCGAGGGGGTCGACAACAGGTCCCCGCCGCTCTTCCTTCCGCGACTACGAGTTAAATAATTCGATCGACCGGTTGGAACGCGCGAGATAGCG